TATATATATCCATTATTTTTCATATTTAAAGAACCGTTGACCCAACTCACCGACGCCTTTTAGAATTCCTTTCTTACTCTTAACATTATCAGATATTCACCACTAATATTACTATACTAGAAATATATATATATATATAAATATAAATATATTAAAAAAAAATGAATAATAGTAGTATTATTGCGGTGGATATTCTTCCACATAATGATGGAAAAATTGTTATGTACGGTGCACCTAATAAAGATATTAAACACTTAGTTTCCGGTAAACTTCGTATAATCCTCTCAAAACCTTTAAAAATAAAATTTATATCCATTAAATTAAAAGGAAGATCTGAATATTCAGATTGGGAAGAACAATATTCTTGTTTAGAAGTAATTAAACTTGAAAAAATTCTTTATGAAAAAAATACTTTACCTATAGGTGTAACCGATATTGAATATGAACTTGAGGTTCCCGGTAATTTACCACAAACTTTTAGAACAAATTTTGGATTTATTTTTTATAAATTGGTTGCCGTGGTTCAACCTGCTTCATTAATGTCAAAATACGCTAGAGTTGAGAGAGGAATTAGTTTTTTAAGGCATTATTTACCTTGTAGGAGAGAATTTTTACCTGCTCCACCTACTAAAATTTATAAAGGACAAAGAAAAGATAATTTGGATTTTGAATTGGAACTTCCTACAGTCATTTGCGTTAATGAAAAAAGTTTATTAATCAGATTAAGATTATTACCACATAACGATAAAGGTCGTTTAAAGAAGGTTTTTTTTGAATTGGTTCAATCTGAAAAATACAAGTACGTACTTTTTAATATTTTATAATAATAATAATAATAATAATAATACGTGATATATAATAAATAATAATAATAATAATCATAATAATAATCATAATTATAATAATAATTATTATTATTATGTTATTATTATGTTATTATTATGTTATTATTATGTTATTATTATGTTATTATTATGTTATTATCATTATTTATTAATTATTTTTGTTATCATTATTTATTAATTATATTTATTATTATTATTATTACTATTAATTTAGTGTTAGGCCAAATCGAAAAGATCTGGATGAATTTTCTATCGATCCTGCTCAATTAATTGGAATTGTTCCATTGAATGGATCTTCATTAACAAAACGTAAACGAACTTATCCTATAAGCCCGACATTACTCACTGTTCATAATGATGCTGACAATTGGAATAACCCGTTGATTTATAATCTTCCATTTGCTCAATATTCATCTTCATCTAATACTTCTCGAAAACCTCGATTAAAAGCAACTCTCAAATCTCCATTAATGAAAGTTAGACATAAATTTAGATTTGTATTGATGTTTGAAGATGATACTGAAAATGATTGGGAATTAGAAATTCCAATTAATGTTACAACTATTCCTGAAGAAAAAAGTCTTTCATTTCTTGGATTGTTTGAAGATAATAATTTACCTTCTTATGATGATACTTTTATGGGAAATTCATCAATCAATCATTCGGAAAATAATGAAAGTAATATCAGTTCTCCTTCTTCAAACGTAGAAAATGATAATGGCTCAAATGATCAATTATTATTATCTGATAAACCAAAACAACCAAAATTAAAACAAAAAACTAGTTTATCATTATTAAAACGCATTTTACTTCGTAACGAAAATAAATCTCTTAATGAAGATTCCAGCACTTCAATATCTCCTCTTATTTCTTCATGTCATAATGATGAATCTTCTCGATTTGGTGAAAGTTCAACTTCAACTTCTTCAAATGAACAAGTAACTCCAGTTTGTTATTTGAATATGCCCGATGATGATGATTTGGATGCAGGTGCTGCTTTTGAGATTCGTAGTGAACCAAGCAGTCCTAAATTAAATGGAATTCCGAGCTCTTCCTTCTCTTCTTTAAATAATTTATCACTTGGTGAAAATTTGAATTTAACTGGTATAAATAATAATAATAATAATAGTAATAATAATAATCATAATGATTTATCATCATTATCTAACGTATTACGTAGTAAGAGTACCGGTTCTAAAACTATTCCAAAATCACATAAAAGATCCACGAGTCTTAATTCATTTGGGGCTGGTGATCCTTCAAACAACATTGGTTCATCTATACAATATCTTCGACCAAGCATCAAACAAAAAGCAACAAAACCAAAACTACACGATATTAGTGAAAATAACAACAACAAACATATTCATGATACTACTCAAGATAAATCGCATTATAATAATTTGTTAATGACTGGATTTGATCTTAATACAATTAATGTTCAAATTCCAAGTCCTACTCTTAAGCTTGAACATAATTTAGAAGAAATGTCTATTAATTAATTTTTTATGAATAATACTTTGTGAATTTCACAAAATATTTGTATCAATTTATTCAAATTAATTTTGGACGTTCTGTACATATTTTTCCTTTTTTTTTTTTTTTTTTTTTTTTTATTATATTATAAATTTTTTTTTTTTTTTTCTTTTTTTTTTTTTTTTTTTTTTTTTCAGTAGATCATACATTCATTTTTATTCATTCATTTTGGTTCATTCATTGACTCATTCATTTGATTCATTGATTCAAGTCACATTTCAATTAATCATTTTATTCAGTCATTTATAAATCATTCGCTAAAAGTCATTTATAAATCATTCGTTAAAAATCATTTCTATCAATCAATCATTCATTCATTCATTCATTCGTTTTTTTTAACCAATTTACCAATTATTGTATAGATATATTTTTTTTACCATTTAAACAAATATATTCATATTCACAAAAGAATATTCCACATTCCACATTCAAAATATTGTAGTATTCTTTATTCGCACATTTCTTATTTGCATTATAAATAGTTAGAGGAAAAATAAAAAGAACAAAAAAAATATAAATAAAAAATTATTAACGTAAACGTAACGTTAAAAAAAAAAAAAAAAATTTTTTAAGTGTGTAACGAATTATGGTTCTTTGTTATAATGACTATACATGGGTAAAAATTATTGTTACATGGGCCCATTTCGATATATCTATAATAACTTAACAGATAACCCGGATATTCTCCTTTGTTAATGATAGCTTTATTTTGTAAAACTAAAATTTTTAAATATAAATTAAATGTAACACATGCTGAAGTAAACATTATAAATTAATTTTTTTTTTGGGCAACTTATTTAACAATTACTGAATTATCTCATCGGTTCAAAAAAAATAAAGTTCCTCATAATGAAAAATATGGGTGGCGGATTATTGAATATTAAAATTAGAAATTCATCAAATCCTCCGGAAACAAGAAAATTAAGTGTTCCCTCAAATATCAAATGGAATGATTTAGAAAAAGAGGTTAAATATTTATTTAAATCATTTAAATCATTATATACTCAATATATATTTATATATCTTTATATTAAATCTACTTTATATGAACTATATATTATAAATACTAATTCTATCCGTTTAATTTTAATTCAATAACAATTATATTTAACAAAAGATTCGAGCATTATTTTCCGAAATAAATTCAAATGATATAATTCAATTAAAATATCGTGATCTCGAAGGTGATATAATTCATATTTCAACTGATGGAGAACTTTCAAGTATATTATGTACGTTAAATGAAGAATCAATGGTGAAATTTGATTTGGTTATTAAACCAAACCCCTTAGAATTATTAAAGGTAATAAAATGAACCTCATGAAATTTCCAAATCTTCTCGTGTAAATTTTTAATTGTTATTTAATATATAGTTTGAAATAGATGATGAATTTGTTGATATTACTAAAAATATTTTGCAACAATGGCTTAGTGAAAACTTGCCAAATCTTATTGATAAAGTAACTCGCGAAGTTGTAAATTGTAATTACAGAATTATATATTTTTTAAATCAAATAATACTTTTTATAACAAATAATAATTTCATTTCATTTCATAATACAAAAGCGATTGAACGAAAAAAACAATTAATTTCTCAAGATTATATATCAACTTCAATTGAGAATGTTCATAAAGTATTCACATATCCATCAAAAAAAATTCAAGGAAAAATTGGTGCTACCGTTGAAGTTCTCATATCTTATCAATACTTAACATTTTCCCATGCCTCTACAAAGGATATTTGGGGTTCT